TTGTACCGGGGAGAGAAGGTAGAGATAACGGCTTGAGAACCCTGATGCTTATTCAGAAGAGTAGAAGAGGGAAAAGCCCCGGTGGTGCTCTTGTCAATTGATGCGGAGAAGGCATTTGATAGAGTGGACTGGGGCTTTATGATGGACAACTTAAAAGTGTTGGGGATAGGAGATAGAATGCGAGAGTGGATAAGTAAACTACATAGGGAGCCTACTGCAATCATCACGGTAAATGGGGAGAGATCAGAACCCATTGGAATGTCAAATGGTACAAGACAGGGCTGTCCTCTGTCCCCTCTGCTATATGTATTGTCACTCGAACCTCTGTTGTCAATAATAAGAAATAGTGGATCGGTAAAGGGAATTCAGATAGAATCCATAGAACATAGAGTAGCGGCCTTTGCGGAGACGACTTATTGTTCTACGTGGGGAATCCCCGAATAACTCTCCCAAATATAATGAAGATTCTGAAGGAGTACGTGAACTATCAAATTTAAAAATTAATCCCAACGAAAACAGAGATCCTGAATATTAATATATCAAAGAAATGAAAAAGAAAAAATTACAAAAAGAATTCCCCTTTATATGGAGAGAAAAAGAGATAAAATACCTAGGAATAAAACTCACTGCCTCATCTAAGCATTTGTATAGATTAAACTATATCTCTTTGATAAATGAGATCAGGGAAGATTTAAAAAGACTAGAAGGAGGAAATCCATCCTGGATAGGACGTATAAACTTAGTCAAAATGGTAATTATGCCTAAAATACTGTATAGATTTCAAATGGTACCAATTAAAATTCCAGAAGCCTTCTTTAACATAATGAAAAAAATGTTAACAAGATACATATGGAAGAATAAAAAACCTAGAATAGCATATGAAACATTGAGTAGGACTAAAGAGAAAGGGGGAATTGGGTTTACCAGATGTCAAGAGATACTATAAAGCAGTGGTTTTGGCAAGAATATATGACTGGACATTTAACCATAAGGGGAAAAGTTGGGTAACAATTGAAAATGATCTTAGTGGCAATAGATTGAGTCAGATGATATGGGTCCCACCACAGTTCAGGGGAACTAAAGAAAGCACAAGTATTTACACTTTAAATGTTTTTAGGGTATGGGACAATTTACATAAAAATATGAAATGGGAATTTAATTCAATATTAATGCCTCTCACGAATTCTGAGTACTTTCCTCCGGGAAAGAACAAGATATCGGGGAGATGGTTTAGAAAGGAGGACACCCAACTGAGAGATGTATTGGTGGAGGGAGAATTGAGATCACTTAAAGAGTTAATAGAGAAGAAGAGAGACATTTTTATTAGAATGGATGAGTGGAAATACCATCAATTGAAAAGTTTTATTGGAAAACTACCGAAACCTTTGAGAATAAAACAGGAGTGGAATATGTTTGAAAGGTTGTTAGAGACACGAAGGGATGGGAAGCACGGTATTTCAAAAGTGTATAGAATACTCACAGAATTAGACACAAACACAAAGTTAAACTTTATGACAAAATGGGAAAGAGATATGGGAGTTGGGTTTGATGAAGATAGACAGAGAAAGATGTTTAGATTGATACACGATAATGTTAGTATGAGAGAGGTGGAGGTTAATTATAAGTGTGTGACACGATGGCACATCACACCGAGTGTAGAACACAAGATGAATGGGGAAAGTTCAAATATGTGTTGGAGAGGATGTGGAGATATAGGCACGGTGTTTCACATATGGTGGGAATGTCCGAAAATCCAGGCTTTTTGGAAGACAATAGTCAAGTTGATTGAAGAAATTACGGAAATTGAGATAGGATTAGACCCAACGACGTGTCTCCTACACAATGTGGAGACATCTGTAAATAAATATAAAGATTCAGGTATTTGGTACTTCTTGAATGCGGCGAAAGGGTTGATACCCAAGTTTTGGCGGAAAGTCGAGGTACCGAAGGAGGTGGACTGGATTAATAGAGTAAACCAGATAGGTAGAATGGAAAGATCATATCATATGCAGGAAGATAGAATGAGAGTTTATCTCAGGAGATGGGAAAAGTGGGAAAGAGCAGGATTGAAAGAGAAATATAGGAAAACATGAACTAGGATGTTAACAAAAAATTAAAAAGCCTCAAGAGAATAGAATGGGTTAGAGTTTGCAGAGGGGGAGGAGGGGGGAAGAGGGGTGGGAAGGAGGGGTAGTGGGATGGGAAAGAAAAGAGTTTTTAGTAAGGGAAAGGCAGAAATGTTATAAATGTCTATTTGTATGAGAATTACTTCCCTTTTTGGGTTTTTGTATTAACATGAAAAATTTAATAAATATTTAAATTAAAAAAAAAAAAAAAAAAACACATGTCAACGTTGCAGAATTGTGCTTAGGCATTTAGATTTGTTTTACCCTTAGGCGTGAAGGGGTTAAGGGAAGATCAACCCACTTTGACCAGACCAGTTCTCTCCTTGACTGAGGATCTATGGGCTTTGATACATACCGCTTACTTACATCAGTCCTCTGGTGAGTGCGCATTTCTGCTTTTCTTCACAGACCGCCACCATTGATTTTCTACTTGTCATCCGGCACGTTTTTATGAATAGACTTTAGTGGACTTTCTTTCAGACTTTATTATCTAGCGCTGCACTTTTGTTGATATTAAAACTGTGGTGTAGGTTTTTAGAAGTTAAAGGTGACATACCGTCCCCTCACCACCTTTTAAAATGCCCTCTGAAAAGTGATCCATGGTGGTAAAACTTGTGTAAACGAGCCCATGCATTGTATGCTTTATTATAACTTACAAGAAGCCTTGAGGCTGAAACCAGTTTCATTTAAAATATATTCAGAGTTGATGTTCCCGTAATGTAACAAAAGGTTCAAATACTAAAAGCTTTTTCCTTCAAAAAAAAAAAAAAGGGAAAAAAAAAAAAAAAGAATCTCAGCGGCTCATTCTCATCGCATTTTTTGCCCTTTTCTATGGATTTGTTATGTAGCAGGTGGGTGATGTGAAGTGGAGCTGGCGCTGCTTAGGCTCTTTTATCAGTTTTTAAGGAATTGCGCACTCCGAGCTGTAAATAGCAGTTGGTCTTGCTGTGCAGATGTTTATTCTACTTGGTGGGAGGAGAGCGGGGTAAGCAGTTGTTCTGATGAATCTTTTTCAGTGCCAGCCAAACCTCTTCAACATTGCACAGAGGGGCCCGGAGCCCTGTCATCGCAGCACTTGGGGGCCATTAACTCTTTCACGAAGAGGCAGTCTCCTGTCAATGCAGAAGCATCTATGATCAGTTTGTTGTCATCTCTGGCAGTTAAAAGGTTTCAGATCTGATAGCCTTCTGCATTCTGGATCCTATCTGTGTAAATACAGCTGAATTGAACTGACACGCAGGGGCCCCCTCATTCAGCAGGCTCAAAGTGAAATGAGCAACATGTGGCAAAAATAGGGTTATGTCCGTTTTGACGAAAAAGTCAGTCTGTCAAGAACTGGTATTTCATTGCTTGGCAACTGTTGAGCACCCAGTTCTGTAAGTTGAGTTCCCGGGTCTGTACGCCTGCTGCGTGAATTATGAGGGGATACCACCATCCCTGTGCAGAGTTCCTAGGTTTGCACACCAGTAGTGCCTATTATGAGAGGCTCCCATCACCACTGCTCTCCTTCTGTGCCCATTATAAAGGTTCCCATCATCCCTGCACTAGGCCCCAGTTCTGTACACCTGTTGTTCCCATTGTGAGGGGTCCCCGCCATCCCTGTGCTGAGTTCCCAGGTCTGTACACCTGTTGTGCCCATTTATAAGGGTTGACCACCATCCCTGCACTGTTCCTGGGTCTGCATAGCCATTGTGCCCATTATATGCTGTGCTTACTTCCTGGGTTTGTACACCAGTGGTTCCCATTATGAGGGGCTCCCACCATCCCTGTGCTGAGTTCCCAGGTCTGTACACCAGCTGTGCCCATTATGAGGTGTTTCCACCATCCCTGTACTGAGTTCCCAGGTCTGTACACCTGCTGTGCCCATTATGAGGGGCTCCCATCATCCCTGTGCTGAGTTCCCAGGTCTGTATACCTGCCGTGCCCATTATAAGGGTTGGCCACCATCCCTGCACTGTGTTCTTGGGTCTGCATACCTATCGTACCCTTTATGTGCTGTGCTTAGTTCCTGGGTTTGCACACCAGTGGTGCCCATTATGAGGGGCTCCCACCATCACTACACTCCTGCTATGCCCATTATGAAGGGTTCCCATTATCCATGTACTAGGCTCCAGGTCTGTACACCTGCTGTGCCCATTATGAGAAGTTCCCACCATCACTCTACTGAGTTCCCAAGTCTGTACACCTGCTGTGCCTATTATGAGGGCTGGCTGCCATCCCTGCACTGTGGTTTAAGGTCTGCATACCCATTGTGCATATTATGAGGGTTTCCTACCATCCCTGTGCTGAGTTTCCAGGTCCCGAGTGTTGGTTGTCATTGTCAGTGGATGAGGCAGCTCTGCTTCAGAAAGTAGGGCATGGAGATCTTGAAGGAATCTGGTATGAGATCCAAAGGAACCCTTTATCAGTTCACTTCTGGTGTTGACTGATGTTCTCAGTTGGCGAGGCACCTCTACTCCAAAAAGTAGGGCATGGGGTACTTGAGGAAACCTGGTATGCAATCCAAAGTACCCCTTTACTATGCCATGTCAATACAGGCACTGCAATAAGAAAATCATTCAGTGATTGATCATAAGAGTTGAATTCAGAAAACAACTTGCAGAGTGAATTCACGCGGGTTGGTTCATCATTGATTCATATTAACAAGATGGACCTCATAGACAGCACAGGATGGCAGTTTGACTTCCAAAGGCCTTCTCCACACCACATCTATTGGGCCGTGTTGAGCAGTGTTGCCCAAAGCATAGACAAGATAACCGAGTGAATGAATAGGCTACATTGTCAATGATGGCGCTGGTCTCCAGTGAATAGATAGAGTTGTGTTGGGCAGCATTGCCCAAAGCTGTGTCATAAGCAGTGGAGGACTGACAACTCATGGGGCCCCTGGGCAATAGGGGATCATGGGGCCCCTGTGTCCTTGCCCAAACTAAAAAAAAGCCTATGAAAAAGGTACCAGGGGAATCTCATGGGGCCCCCTACTGAACCCGGGCCCTCGGGCAGTGCCCGAGTTTGCAAATGGTCAGTCCGCCCCTGGTCATAAGTGATGTCACCAGTCTCTATGAAGTAGTGATGTCACTAGTCTCTATGAAGTGGTTAGGCTGCATTGTCAGTGATGTCATTGGTCTTGTGACTTGTGAATGGATAGGCTGCTTGTCAGTGATGTCACCTTTTTCTGAATGACCCTGTACACAGCCAGTGTGTGTCAGGGCTCTGTCCACAGCAGAGGTACTCGGAGACCTGGTCATTCCTGCCAGTACCTTGCATGGCCGCAGAAATGCACGCTGGCGAAAATCTATGCGCATTGGCGCACGGACACGAGCGCACACTGGCACATAGTTATGCATGCATTATCTCAGTTTGGCACCAGACGGCCTTTATAAGGAAGCCCATCACTCCCTCAAATTGCTGGTTGATCTCTGGCTCCCCAGTACCTTTGTCCGTGTTCCCTTGCTACTGTGATCTCCTGTTTACTGATTTGGCTTGTTCCTGGACCTGTCTTCTCTTCCTGACTCCTAATCTGACCCAGCTTGGCTAACAGATATTCTCATCTGCTCTCCTGATCTGACCTCGGCTTGGCTAATAGATATTCTCACTCCCTCTCCTGTGTATGACCCCGGCTATCCTATTGACTACGTCTGCTCCAATCTCCACCTGGCATCTGACCTTGGCTTTGAACCGACTACTCTGTGGTCCTCTGCTACACTGAAGGCCTGCATACCTCTCACGGGTGCCACCTGTCTGCAGACACCATTCCAGTGCATCAGCTGTGCTCCTGGGTGTACCTCTGACAAGCACTCCTACAGATGACCCGTGCTACTGTGGGGCCTGACTCCTTCTGTCCCATATCCAGGGGAGTCTGGAACTTAGCCGCAAGGGAAGCCCTCTCTCCATTGGCCTCTAACACCAGGTACATGATAGTGTGTGTCCAGAATTAGTGCTTTTGTGGCGTTTTGGCTGCCTGTTGGGTAGGTGCAGCATGGTGTATCGGCAGAAAGCATACATAGTCCTTGTTAACCAACAACAATGTCAACTGGTACAAACAGGCCCAGCGGGGAGGCTGACCTGACCGCGACACTTTCAACAGTTCAGAGCCAAGCTGCAGACAGCGTCTGTCACAAAGAGAGAAGTGTGGCCTGGCCAGTCCAACCCAAAGGAGAGTTTCCTGAAGAGTAGACGTAAGCCCTACACTTTCCCTACTTCACCGAAACCTCCCAACCACTGGAGCTGTCCCTGACAGACAGGTATCCTGTCCCTACAATAGCCACTCACATAAAGTGCGCCAAAACCCAGCGGCAGGGAACTTAAAAAGACTCTGCATGACCCAGGATGGCAACCATGGTCATCTGGACCCAGGGCATCCAACTGGATCACTGGTCCAGGGGTCTGAGGAAACCATTGAGAAACCTAGTTTCTCCTGATGTTCTCCTCCAGCTGCATTGCTACTATGGTCGAGCACCAACTGCAATGGAGAATGTGGACTGCACCTACGTACAAACACACACAAGCTGTTCGAGCGGTCACAGAGTGTTTAGCTGCCTGTGGACATAGCAAACTATCCGCATCCATGCGGTCATGTGAATGTAACCCAATGGGGGCACAGACAGCAATAAAAACTAATCAGGGGTTCTAATCCCTCTCTAAACTATAAATAAAAATGTTGCCTTTAATTCTACTTTATATTTCAATATTTTTATTGAGAAACAAGCATATAAATGCATAAAACGAGATGGCAAACAAAAGGTCCACCTACATGGTGGAACGATATATAGAATCAGAATCATAACACTGATAGGCACGCAAAAAGATTATCGAAAGGTGGCATTACAAATACACACAGAGAGTGCCATAACCATCAAGACGTACAGGTTTCATAAATCAATAAACAGAAATTGAACCGAAGGAATGAACCAAAAGTGACAGAAATAATTCAGCGAATAAAGTAGAAAAAAAGAGAAGAAAGAGAGAAAAGAAGAAGGAAATTACTCCTAAGGGAAAGGAAAAAAAATAAGAGTGGGGGGGGGGTCAGCTGCAAGACTCTCACGGTACAGTAATGTAATTAATCCAAGGCTCCCAAGTCCTCTCAAATCTGGACATATCGTCATTGACAATACTCGTCAGTTTATCGTTAACCATTATCCAGTTAAGTTTTTGTTTCACCCTATCTAGCGGGATCAAGGATTGTTTCCAACTTCTAGCTATGGTAATGCGAGCCGCCAGTAATAGGTATAAAATTAGTTTAGTCAATTTTTTGGGACGTCAGAGGGCAGTATATTGAACAAAGCCACTTCCGGCGATCTACGAATACTAACTCCTGTTACTGAGTAAATAAAATTGAATATGTGGATCCAGCACCTACTCACAACTGGACATTTCCACCAAACGTGGAACATGGTACCCTTTTGACCACAGCGTCGGAAACAGCTAGATGACACGGAAGGATACATTATGGCTAGGCGAGCGGGAACCAAATACCATAGAAGTAGCATTTTATAGTTGGATTCAACAAGATCAGTGTTAATCGAGATCTTTGATAGAGTATGAACCGCATTCCGCCATGTATCTAAATCTAATGAACGATTTAAATTCCTCTCCCATTAGGTCATGTAGGATAATTTAGTGAGGGGATCAACCAACGAAGCATAAATAATGGATAAACGATCTCGCATCATCCCACTTGCCCCACAGGAGACCTCGAGGGAAGTAAGCGCACAAGGTTCTGTGAGTAATCTTAGCTTGCTATTGATAAAAGAGCAAAGTTGGTGATAACGGAATATTTCTCCGTGAGGCATCTTATAATTAGTCACAAAATAATGAGGAGACCGAGGATGAACCCCATCTAAATAATCTCCGATATGTAATAACCCCTTATTAATCCACCACTGGAACCTCGCGAAAGATAGACCCGGGGCAATCTCAGGATTACCAAACACTGGGGCCAATGGGGTATGCGGAGAGGAGAAAGGTTTACAAGCTCGCCATCTATCCCACACCGATAATGAATAGGATAGAGTAGGACACAAAATAGGAGGATGCAATCCACTGGGAAGCCACATGAGAGTACCAATAGCATATGGATGGCACGAAAGGGCCTCAAGCCCAACCAATTGGGGGACATATCCCTTGGCCGTAGTACACAATAACTGTGCTATTTGGGCCGCCTGAAAGTATGCTAAAAGATTAGGGAGTCCCAAACCGCCATGCCTCTTCAAAGAAAATAAGGTAGATTTGTTAAGCATAGGGTGTTTTCCCCTCCACACAAATCTAGAGACTGCTGCTTGTAGTAATAACAGTTCCCATTTGGGGATCATGATTGGTAGCGTTCTGAAATAGTACAATAATCTTGGTAGAAAGGTTATTTTAATAGGATTAATTCTACCGAACCAGGAAAGTGAGAGATCCTGCCAGTCTAGTAAGTCATTTTTAAGTTGTTTGAAAAGCAGGAGATAGTTGGCCTTGTATAACGTCGATATAGATTTCGTGAGGAGAATCCCCAGATAGGGGAGAGAACCAGGGGCCCACTGAAAATCAAAATTTTCCCGGCAGTAACGAACCTCCGAATCAGGTACCGAGATATTTAAAGCAACCGTTTTAGATGAGTTGAGCGTAAGACCGGAGGCCTCAGAAAACTGATGAAATAAATGGAAGAAACCAGGCAGAGACGTTCGAGGATTAGATATGTACTGTACATGAGAACATCATCAGCAAATAGGGCGCATTTATGATCCCGTTGACCACAGTTAACGCCTGAGATAGTGGGATCAGTGTGAATAGCATTCGCAAGTGGTTCCATTGCCAACGCAAAGAGCAATGGAGAAAGAGGACATCCCTGTCTAGTCCCTCGTTCTATCGAAAAAGGGACTGATTTATATCCACGAATGGAAACTTGAGCGGACGGAGTAGAATAGAGGGCCCGCAACAGCGTCGTAAAATAAGGGCCAAACCCAAATTTGTCTAACGTTCGAAATAAATAGTCCCAGGACAGACTGTCGAATGCCTTCTGAATATCCTGTGACAGTAGTAGATTTTCCCTCTGTGGAGATCTGTCCCAATTGGACTGCACAGCTGACAGCAAAGCTATAGTCCGTCTAATGTGGTCCGATGTTTGTCGACCACTTATGAATCCTGGTTGGTCATCATGAATATATAGGGCCAAGAAGTTATGAAGACGTAGGGCCAGGATTTTAGTAAGAATCTTTAACTCACAATTAATTAAGGAAATAGGTCGGTAATTGGAGACCATAGTGGCATCCTTGAGAGGCTTGGGAATGACACTGATGAATGGCTTAATTTCATCTGTGAGTACCATTCCTCCATCCCGCAAATAATTAAAGTACAGGGCCATATGGGGCGTCAGAATATCAGGGAAAGCTTTATAGTAATTATTGGTAAGACCATCCGTTTCCTGGGGCCTTATGAGAGGCAAGAGATTTCACCACATTCCCAATTTCTTCACATGAGATAGGTCATTCCATCATCTCCCTATGGCCTCCTGGAGGGGGGAAGTGAAATAGACTCCAAAAAAGTATCAAGAGAAGAAGAAGAACCCCCTTTGGGCAAGCTATAAAGTTGAGTGTAAAAAAAATGAAATTTGTGGAGGATCTTACCAGGGTCCTGGGATAATGAACCGTTATCCAGTCTGAGTTTGGGGAGGGCCGTCTGGGAATGTCTGGGAGTCAGCTTGCGTGCTAACAGGGTGCTAGGTCTGTCCCTCCGAGTAAAAAATTTATGATTAGACCAATGAAGTTGTTTGTCAGCAGTGGTAAGACACAAGTTAAGTTCCAGTCAGGCCTGGTCAAGTTTTAGTAACAAATCAGGACTGGGATTTTGCTTATGTTGAGCAACCAGGTCAGTGTAGGACTGAGTTTTAGTAGTAAGTAGGTCATTTCGGGCTTTTTTTAGATGAGAAGAAAGTTGAATAATATATCCCCTGACTGAGGCCTTATGAGCTGCCCAATTAATCGCCGGGTTCGTGTCCTCTGCTTTATTAAAGTCAAAAAATATCTGTAGGTGTGAGGAAATTTCCTGACAATGAGAGGGGTTACCCAAAATAGAGTCATTAAGACGCCAGTGAAAAGCCGTCTTACCAAGTGTCTCGGACGACAAGGTTATAGAAACTGGGTCGTGGT